CCAAAAGGAGCCTCTGGGTACAAGTAACAGTGGGGGACTCACTTAATTTGTGATAATAATAAGGGAGACAGGCCTGGCTCAAAAATATCCTGTGTTCCAACCCCTTGGACGCAACCTGGGAGAAAAAAAGATTAAGGTACAGTTGTTGTATATGTAAGATTGTCCAACCCTTTCCTGGGATGAATTTTGTTGTGTAGATTAAATGCACAGATAACATTCATAAGAATTATTTCAGAATATTAATTTAAGAAAGGGTACAAAGCTAGAAAAAAAATGAAATAAAGTTATAGGTATGGAAATATATTTTAGTATGGAAAATTAGAAAGTAAAAGAAATGTTTCTGGATGAGAAAGTATTTTGTCAGGTCAAGTAATATTCTTAAGGTAAAGTCCAAGATGAAAGAGGACAAAACTAAGGATGTAAATGAGCTGTGAATGTCTAAGTAAGTCACAGAAGGTTTGCAGGAGGTAAATCTCAAAAATTTTGTGTTAGTAATTAATTTGTCTATAAATAGCACAGTCAAAATTATTTGAATTTCAATGTACTGATATGAAGCGAAGTCTGAAACACTGATAGGTCTTATCTATCAAGATAATTTTCCTGTATCTGTAAGAAACTAAGTCTTAAAGGAATTAGGGTTTGTACCTATTTTAAAGTCTTTTAAATGACTAATTTGTATCTAGTTAGATAAATAACTATTATTTTAGGTTTTAAAATATAGTGGCACCCTAAGTATATGTGACTAAATGTAAGTATACATCTGAGAACTATATCTATCTGAGCCTTGTCTAAGTGTTATATAAAAGTTTACAAAATGAAAGTTTATCTAGGTTTACCAGCAAAATAACCAATAAGTGCTCTCTTTTATATATTGTATCTGACATAGAAGGGCCACACTGTCATTTAAAAATGTGTCTTATATCTGTTTGTTTTAACTAAGTATACTTCTTATTATTAACACTGTTTCCTAAATGTATAAGAGATTTAAGGCTATCCTTTGATTTTTGCTTAGTACTGCTAACCCATGTAGACCTGTGATTATTGTTACCATACACTATGGATTCTAAATTGTGCTTTAAAAGTTAAATTTTAAATGCAAAGCTTAAAAGAGAGCACTTTACTAAGTTGGTATTCTCCAAACTAAATTTATCTGTAGCAATAGTCTTGGATTTGTATAGAAATAACAAATTTGGTTGACATTTCTTCATGTCATTCCATGTTTTATAGCTGGATAAAGTAACCTGTTGTCAATAAATTATATGTACAATTTTGTGTTACTCTTTACACTGGAATTGGAATTAAATGTATTTTTGAAGAGTAATAAGGAGAGCCTGATCTGTTCAAAGGTGATATTGTAAAATTGTAGAACATGGAAGCATTTTGCTACTTTTTCTTTTTCCAAAAAGAAATTTAAAAGCTCCCTTAGACTTTGTTTGATTCATGTTTTAGATGTAATTTTGTATTGTGTTATTTGTCAAGAACTGCACATTACCTGAGATAAGGTTCTGCCTCCCACCTTACTCCATTTTAGAATGGCTACAAAATAGGCTAGAGTTGAGCTCACTTAGAGTTGTGTTCAAAGGATCAAATTTTGTTGTAAAGATTACTGTGATCTCAAAATAAACAGGAGATATAATACATAACTAAGTAAAGGTTTAAGATTACAAAAATCATTTTACTTGATTCATAGCTCTTTTACCAATTGAATAGGTTTTTGCTCTGTTAATTTCATCTTATATTTTCCTTGTAAACTTTATAACTGTTGCTTGTTAATGTTTTGCAGAGGTTCTCCTTCTAATAAAACAACCTGAGTTAATTTGAGATAATAAACCATCACCTATAGGACAGATAGGATATAATGCTGACTTACAGTATTAATACTGACCCCCAAGTAAATGAAAGAGGTAGCTGTAAAATCATAGGTATTTAAATTATACCTGTTACTCCCACTTCAAGACTGGTGAAACTAGTCTTCTGGGTGTTTAAAACCCAAAACTTGGAGACCAAAGTCAAAGAAGTAAAAGGGCTAAGGAAAGAGCATCCAAC